AATGTCTTAACTAAGAAAATGACATGAAGGCTATGTTAACCAGTTGGATGAAGGTATTTAAAATTGTGTATGGAAACAGCACACTGTACCCCATGATAGTATTAATGTACACAACTATGATTTAATAAAATAAAAAAACTAAGTCATGTCATTATAAAGCAAGCAAATATTCTTCCCTCATAAAAAGACTGAACTGGTAATATTTTTCTCCTGAACTTCCAGAAAAGAGGCAATAAGAACACTTTGGTTTGGGTTCCATTTTTTGTTTTTTTTTTTTATCCTGCTGGCAACTTCTTCCATCCTTTCACAAGCAGGACACAGGCATTGCAGATGTCTCCCGAACGAGTTTCATGCAACCCAAAACAGCTCTGAAAGTCCTTTCCATAGCATTTACTGTCAGTGAATTGAGAAATGGAGGACTTAGCTCTGCTAATACAGCAGCCCTGTATACTTTGGTACATCTTTGGCTTGTGAAAACCAAACATCTTTTCTTCCGGGCAAGTCTACCAAAAGCAGCTGTTCCTTGCTCAATAGCATTGTTGAGGTGTGGAGTGTGTGCCAGGCCAACCCACCTCCCAGTCCAAGCACTCCCTCCTCCTCAACTGCCTTGTCTAGAAAGATTGTCTCCTGAAGTTCTGCTGTTGCTACCGCTGGCCGGGAAGGTATAGATTCCACTTTCTTAATATCTTTTCAAATGTCTTCTGTGGCTGCAGGATTATCACCTTTTTTTGTTCCTGATATTAGTAATTTGTGTATTATCCATCAGTTTGCTTGAGATTATCGATTTTATTCTAAGTTACAGCTTTTAGTTTCATTGATTCCCCCCCATTTTCCCATTTTAAATCTTACTGTTGTTATTTTTATTTCTGTTTTCTGTTTACTTGCTTTATATTTAGTTATCTCTCCTTTTTTTATGTCTTAATCTAGAAGCTTAGGTTATTAAGACCATTCTTTTCTAATGTTAGCATTTTTAATGCTATAAATTTCCCTCTAAATACTGCTTTGTCTACCTTTAACAAATTGATCTTTTGTATTTTTATTTTTGTCCATTGTAAAATATTTTCTAATTTTCCTTAAGACTTCCTCTTTGGCATTGAATATTTAGAAGTATGTTTATAAGTATTTGTGGACTTTCCAGTTCTTTTTCTGTTATTGATGTCAATCCAGTTTGATTCCATTATTGTCAGAAAAATAAAGTTTGTATTTTGTTGCTTTTGTAATTTGTTAAGATTTGTTTGATAACTAAGGATATGGTCTATCATGTGAATGTTTCATGTATACTTAAAAAAGAATGTATATTCTGTTATTTTTAGGTCAAGTATTTTATAAATCAATTAAAGTTCGGTTGCTGATTTCCTGTCTTTGTTTTTAATTGACTACTGAAGAGTATTGAAGTCTCCAACTATAATTGTATATTTTATCTATTTCTCATTTCAGTTCTTCATCTGAAATTAATATAGCTACTACAGCTTTCTTTTGATTAATGTTTCTTTGTTCATTCATCCCTTTACTTTTAACCTACATATGACACATTAGAGTGGGGTTTTTGTAAATAGTGTACATAGTTGAGTTTTAAAAATCCTTTCTGGCATATCCCACCTTTATTTTGTGTGTTTAAAGAATTTAATGTTGTGGCTGGAACAGTGGCTTGCACCTGTAATCCTAGCACTCAGGGAGGTTGAGGTGGGTGGCTTGCTTGAGCTCAGGAGTTTGAGACTAGCCTGAGCAAAAGCAAGACCCCATCTCTACTAAAAGTAGAAAAATTGAGGCAAGAAGATCCCTTGAGCCGAAGTTGGAGGTTGCCGTGAGCTATGACACCACAGCACTCTACCCAGGGTGATAGCTTGAGAATTTGTCTCAAAAAAAAAAATTCCATGTGTTGTTGATATGTTGTTTGGATTTGTGTATTTTAGTTTTTCTATTTTTTTTAATCTTCTGTTTCACTTTCCTGCTTTCAGAGTATTTGAACACTTTTTAGTATGCCATTTTAACCTATATCTTATCTTTCTTACTGTATCTCTTTGTATAGTTTCTTTTTAGTGCTTGCTCCAAGAATTATAACACACTTATTTAACATTCTACTGAGAATTAAAATTTTGCCACATCAAATGGAATATAGAAAATATACCATCACTTAGTTTCTTCTGTCCATTCCCTTTTTGTTCTATTTCTATATTGTGTCTACATATGTTGATTACCCCTCAGACGGTGTTAAAATTTTGGCTTTTATTTATCAATTATATTTTAAAGAGCTCAAAAGTAGAAGAGTAGGCTTCCATATTTACCCAGACATTTACTAGTTCTGTTCATCTTGCTACATTCCTGAAGTCCAAGTTTCCTTCTGGTATCATTGGAAGAATTTCCTTCAGCAATTCTTTTAGAGTAGATCTGGTGAGAAATTCTTAGTTTTCCTTCCTCTGAGAATAAAGGAAATTTCACCTTCATTTCACCTAGATTTTTTTCTTTGTCAATAGCTTTCAGAAATGACATTTCTGGGTATGTATTTATTTGGGTTTTCTTTGGAGCCCAATGAGCCTCTTTATTCTGTAGGTTTATGTTTTTCCAAATTTGAGAAATTATTAACTGTTCCTTCTTCAAATAACTTTTCTGTGCTTTTTCTCCTCTTCTTCTTTGACACTTTCTTATAGGTTCTTGAGGCTCTCTTCTTTTTTTTTTTTTTGTTCCAATCATTTTTCTCCTTATTGTCCAGATTAGATCATGTTTATTGATCTATCTTGAAGTTCACTGGCTCTTTCTTATCTCCATTCTACTATTGATTTCTCCTAGTGTATTTTTTATTTCACATACTGTATATTTTAATTCTAAAATTCCTTTTGGTTCTTCTTAATATCCCTAGTTATTTGATAAGACTTTCTCTTTTTCCATTCTTTTAAAGAATGTATTCACCCTTACTTCTTTTTCCTTTTTTCTTTTTTAATCTTTTCTTGCCATCAATAGCGGAACACTCTTACTTCTTGGAGCATTATTTTTTATGAGACAGAGTGAAACTCTGTTGCTGTTAGTAGAGTGCCCTGGTGTCATAGCTCACAGCAATCTCATACTCTTGGGCTCAAGCAATTCTCTTGCCTCTTGAGTAGCTGAGATTACTGGCACCCACTACAGTGCCTAGCTATTTTTAGAGATAGTGTCTTGCTCTTGCTCAAGCTGGTCTTGAACCCATGAGCTCAGGCAATTCACCAGCCTTGGCCTCCCAGAGTGCTAGGATTACAGGTATGAGCCTCTGGCCTATTACAGCATTTTTATAATCGCTGCCTTAAGAACTCTGTTACTGGCTCGGCGCCTGTGGCTAAAGCGGCTAAGGCACCAGCCACATACACCTAAGGTGGCAGGTTCGAATCCCCAGCCCGGGCCCGCCAAACAACAATGATGGCTGCAACCAAAAAATGGCCAGGCGTTGTGGCGGGCGCCTGTAGTCCCAGCTACTTGAGAGGCTGAGGCAGGAGACTCGCTTGAGCCCAGGAGTTGGAGGTTGCTGTGAGCGTGATGCCATGGCACTCTACCCAGGGGGATAGCTTGAGGCTCCGTCTCAAAAAAAAAAGAACTCTGTTACTAATTCCAACATCAATGGCATCTGAGCATGGACATCTGATGGATGTCTTTTCTCAGAGGAGTTGAAATTTTCCTGCTACTTTGAATGATAAATAATTTTAGATTATATGCTTAGCAGTTGAGGTTGTTTTTAATATTTCAATACATGCAATTCTGGGTTTTGTTTAACTCTGCTGGTTCAGTAGTATTTCAAATTCTGCTCTTCTTGCCCCCTCTGCCTTTATCATTTACTTTTCAGTCCAGGTTTTATAGGTACATTCAGTAGAACAAACCTTGCTGTAGGATAAACCATAATACCTTGAACCAGAACCTGTACAATAGGCAAAATTAACAAATTAGGCCCATAATTTTTAAAAATTATTAAAGCAATAACTGAGAAAATGACATGAAGGCTGTGTTGAGCAGTTTGATGGAAGTATTTCAGATTGCATGTGAAAACCCCACACTGTACCCCAGAAGTGCATTAATGTACATAGTTACCATTCAATTAAAAAAAAAATTATGGCTGTAACTTTTATGTGACTAGTCTTATTAATTTTGACTGCTCTGTCACATTTATCATCACTGAACATTCTCTTATTTGTCTCTGCTATCTACCTGGCCCCTGGCTGTATTAAACATGTGTCCCTGTCCTCTCTGTTCCATTTCCCATCTGCCCATTGATTGGTCATTTCCCTGGTGTCTTCTTTCAGCTGAGACAAGGTTGGAATTTCCAAAAGGAACTTTTCTGGGAAATGTGGGATGATACATGCAACTGTATTGCTTTGGGGAATAATAACAATTCCAGCTCAGAAGAGCATTGCCCCATCTGGAAAGCCCTTACATGTCCTTATCTCATGTGATCCTTGAGTCGCCCCTTAGAGACAACCAGACCTGGCTTATTGACCTGACCATAATTGAGGCAACAGGGTTTTTAAATGTTTGATGTGATCTTCTTAAGGTCACTTAGTTCTGCAGAATCAGAGCCAGGACCAGGTAGCTTTCCTGGACACAAATCCAATGTGCTTACCAGTTTCATTTATGTTTTGCGTTGACAACTAGTGATTTAATGATTTGTGATTCCCCTAACCCAATTTATAAAACATTGGCCCTGTGCATTTTCGAGGGCCTGAAGCAATCTGAGGAAAAGAAGTTTGCCACAAGATCTTTGGATCTTAGCTTTAGTGAGGTATGGGCAGCACCCACAATCTGGTAGTGTTCCTCCAAGTATATAATTAGTTTCTATTTCTATGAACTTTTGTTAAATATCTAGTGTATTTCTGGCACAGCCCAAAGCAAGCCTAGGAGGTAGAAGGATAAATATGACCACTCCCAGGGTCCCAGCCCCTGTGGGTCCAGGTGATCATCTGGATCTTTCTGGTCCTTAAGGGGCTTTCCAGAAGGGTTTGGGGAGAAGTATCTGAGCTTACAGAGGTCTTCTTTCCCTACAGTCCTCCGGGCCTCGTATGAACAGGAGAAAGATGCTCTTACCCACTCCTTCCAAGAGACCAATGCTGCCCTCCAGGTGAGAGGAGTGGGCCAAGTCAGTGTCTGGTAAGTGTAGGGAAGGACCAGCAGGAGAGCAGCACGGAGCCTCGGAACAGCCCAAACCATGGTCTCTACCTAGGTATGAGGGACAGAGGTGACTGTCTTTGTGTATCCAAGCCCCTGAATTTGTTGACTAGGCTGTTAGCTCAGGAGGACATGTTTGCAAATCAGGGCTGGCTTATTTCTCAAAGGATTGTTCTGAGATCTTGGAAATGGCATGGGCCAGGTGCCACAGTGTGATGAGACTGGTGGGCACATGCACAGAGGCCTGTGGAAGTATAAAAGGAGGCATCTAGCTCAACTTGGCTGTTCAAGGAAGATACTCTAGAGAGTGTGAGATCTAAGCTGGAACCTGAAGGGTGGGTTAGAATTCCCTAGGTGTGGCTCGGCGCTTGTGGCTCAAGCAGTTAAGGCGCCAGCCACATACACCTAAGGTGGCAGGTTCGAATCCCCAGCCCGGGCCCGCCAAACAACAATGATGGCTGCAACCAAAAAATGGCCGGGCGTTGTGGCGGACACCTGTAGTCCCAGCTACTTGGGAGGCTGAGGCAGGAGACTCGCTTGAGCCCAGGAATTGGAGGTTGCTGTGAGCTGTGATGCCATGGCACTCTACCCAGGGGGATAGCTTGAGGCTCTGTCTAAAAAAAAAAAAAAAAAAAAAAAGAATTCCCCAGGTGGAGAAGGGTAGGAAGGGTGTTGTTCTGGGCAGGGGAAAAAAAGGCAATCTGGCTCAACACCCATAGCTCAGTGGTTATGGTGCCAGCCACATACACCAGGGCTGATGGGTTTGAACCCAGCCCATGCCTGCTAAACAATGACAACTACAACAAAAACAGCCAGCCATTGTAGCAGGTGCCTGTAGTCCCAGCTACTTGGGAGGCTGAGGCAAGACAATCACTTGAGCCTAAGAGTTTGAGATTGCTGTGAGCGGTGACACCACAGCACTCTACCAAGGATGACATAGTGAGACTGTGTCTCCAAAAAAAAAAAAAATGGCAATCTATTCAAAGGCATGGAAGAAAGGAGAAAAAATGTGGAATACCTGGCAAACTGAAAGAAATCCAAGATGTCTGGGGTATACGAATGGGAGAGAGGGCTAAGGCTGGAGAGGTGGGCATAGGGCCCAAGATAGGATCCCTGAGCTATATGATGGAGTTGTACTCTATCCTAAAGGTGTAAAGGTTAGGATTTAAGTAGAATAAATTCTCGGCAGGGAAAAGGTTTGGAGACAAGAATGCAGTTTGCATTTTGGGGAGTAATGTGATATTTGGCTGCAGGAGAGGATGTGTGCAGGGGGCAGTGAGAGTAAGACTGGAAGAGTTCATTGAGCCTGGTTTAGATGGGCTTTGAACGCCAGGCCAGCACTGGCCTTGAATGCCAGGACATTGTTCCCAAGGATTAGGAAGCCATCACAGGCTTTATAACAAGAGGTGGGGCTGATATGTTTCAGGCAATAGTTGAAGTAGAAGAGTCCAATATTGTCATGTAGGGTAGACTAAAGAACCTAAAATATTCCCTCTTTAGGATAAGATGAAATCTACCTACAGCCCTTATGAGCCAGGCTTTGATCATCTCCTTCCCATTCTCTTCACCAGGAAACTGTAGCCAGACTGACCTCACAGCTGGAGGCCTTCCAGGCCAAGATGAAGAGGGTAGAGGAGTCCATTCTGAGCCAAGACTACAAGAAGCACATCCAGGTATGTGGCAGTTCATCTGGGGCCTTTCCTCCTCAAATCTCAAGGGAGGTTAGGGTCAAGCAACAGGAAAGGCCACCCTCTCTTCAAGGACAAGGCTCAGGCCTGACATCTTACCTTCACAAGTGCCCCTGGCAAGAGGGTCCCCATTTTGCTGAGGGGGAAAGTAGACTCTGTGAGACCCATAGGGAGAGAAACGTACTCAGGCTCTGGATTCAAAGAAAACTAAGTACAAATAGCAAACTCATTGCACTACTGGTTAGTGAAAATCACTCAGCCTGTATGAACCATAGCCTCCTCATCTGGTAAGGTATAGCACATGCCTCACAGGCTGTTACACAGGTAAAGTAGGTAAAGCATATTAAAAACTTACTATGGAGTTAGAGAAGGAGGCTTGTGAAAGCCCAACAGTGAGTTGGCGGCAGAATGGGGAGGAGGAAGTTAGCCCATGCCCTTCTCTACCTGTTGGTTTATTGATGTCACCCATCCTTGTCTAGGATTATGGGAGCCCCAGCCTGTTCTGGGAGCAGGAGCTAGAGAGCTTGCACTTTGTCATCGAGATGAAGAATGAGCGTATTCATGAGCTGGACAAGCGGCTGATCCTCATGGAAACAGTGGTCTGTGGCTGGGGGTGGCTGGGGTGACTGGGGGTACAGACCCAGGCTCCTGCTTTCTGAGCACGTCCTTTGTTAAACTCACAGAGGGGAGATGGCTCTAGGAGCCCCAGCCTGGTATATGGTAGCTTTGACCTGCTGCATGTGCTGACGAGCTGAGGTTGATCTGTGGCCCATCTAGGGAGAGCAGTGGCTCTTTATCTTGTTGTGGTTGCTGTGCTTCATGTGGCTACTGATTGCTGTAACTTGGGCATGCTAGGGCAGCTAGCCTGGCCAACCAGGAGGAGCCAGCAGATGCCACATGCCAGGCAGGGGCTGAGGAAGGAGGTAAGGCTGGAGGGAATAAGGCCAGTGATAAGCGAGGATAGGGCTGGAAGCTATGGGCATTGAGGGCACAGGAGAGCAGACGCCCCAGAAACCTTGGGTTGAATCCAAGCAGAGCCTACATTGCTCTGAAAGAAGTCTCCTTGGCCTCCCATGTGCCATGCACCATCTCAAACATGCCCTATCAATTTTGTTCAGTCATCTTTGTAGAAATGCATAAGAAACAAACTTAATTACATATAAAATCCTTCTTACTTTTGGAGAACAAAAAATATATATTCTTCTATGAACTGACGGTGATATGAGGTAGTAGTGGCTGTATTTTTTAAATGTTCTTCTGTGGTCAAATTAAAAGTCAGCAACCCTCTGTTAGCTCCTTAGTTTTATTATCTTAGGTTGTCTTCTTGCTCCATGAAATGTAACATCTAGTCTAGAATGAATCAGCATTTTCTGTGACCACAGATAAGAGGGAGGTGATAGCATATGCTGTGGCATGCGAGTTTGGCAGCTTTCTGAGCTCCTTCTGGTTTGTTACAGAAAGAAAAAAATCTGATGTTAGAGGAAAAAATCACAATCCTGCAACAGGAGAATGAGGACCTCCATGTCCGGGGCCGGAACCAGGTGGTCCTGTCAAGGTAGCTGTCCTGTCCCCTTTCCTCTTGTCCTCACCCTTGCAGCCAACATTTCCAGTTGGGAGATTCTGCAAGGAGCCTGGGGAATGGATTGACAGGTAGGCCCAGGGGCTGTCTAGGGAATGTGGCTCCCCTTTCCCTGGGCGTTAGGAACCTAAGGGACCATTCCTGCCCAGAAACCAAAGGCCCAATGGCCTGATTAGTGTCTGTATGTCTCTGTCCCGTCTGGGTGGGCTCCTGTGGGAAAGCCCAATATGGAGAAAAGGAAACAGGAAGCTTATGGCTCACCAGGCCTACATGGAATGAATCAATTCTTAGGGCTTAGTAAATCAGAGCTAGTATCATGTGTCAGATATGATTTATTGAATACTATACATATTTCCTCATCTAATCCTCATAATTACTCTAAGAGCTTGAGCCTATTATTAATATTTCTATTTTACAATTGAGGAAACAAATTCAAGGAGAATGAATGGCTTGTCCAAGATTACACAGCTAAGTGGTGAAGGCGAGATTTGGAGCAACCCAGAGCTATTGCCTGTGAGGTTTATGTTCCTTGATCAACAAACTGAATTAGCTCCTTGGTACAGAAAAACAAGGAGGGTGGTAGGGTCCCTGAGGCAGGCTGGTGGCCTGTCTAAGGAGAGCTTCCTAGAGGCATGGGTTGGTTTCTGTAGCAGCTATTCCTGGTAGGCAACCCTGGGCTCTGTCTGCATCCACAGACAGCTCTCGGAAGACCTACTTCTTGCCCACAAGACCCTGGAGAAGGAGACACAGTTACGACGGCAGCTGCAGCAGGAGAAAGAGGAGCTGCTGTACCGGGTCCTGGGGGCTAACGCCTCACCTGCCTTCCCCCTGGCCTCTGTCACCCCCACTGAGGTCTCCTTCCTCGCCACATAGCGCACATGTGGTCATGGTCCCTCCAAAGACTTACCAGAGAAGACAGCAGGAGCTTTTAAGTTATTTTCCCAGGAAGAAACGAGGGTGAGAGTGAGATGAGGAGGCAGGGTGTGTGCCCAGTGAGCCCTGGGGCCTCAGGTCACGTAGAGTCACTGACAGTGCTTTGGAGGCCCCAAGGAAAAGTGTCTTCCCATAAGTTGGCCCAGGGAATAAGCAAGAGGAGTCCTTCCCTCCCTCCCTTTCTCTCTTTCCAAATCGAGGAACGTCCAGGCTTTTCCCAGGGAGGCAGCCTGTGCCATACTGGCCATCTGACACAAAGGAAACAACCCCTGGGTCCAGCTTGTCAGCCTTGCTGCAACTTGCTGGCTTGTCAACTTCCCCAAGGTGTTCCCACTTCTGCCCTGGCCTTCTCTCTGCCTCAGTTTACCCCTGCTATAAAATGGTTGGGGGACTGGCCAAGTGACTTGAGTCCCAGTCTAGGATTGTCTGAAGGTCAGACTGGGGGTGGTTGGGGAAAGTGGACAAACCCTGTGAATAGCCTGAGAAAGATGAGGGCTGCATCCCTACAAGCAGGCTGAGGTTGGTGGGACCAGGCAGCACCCCAGCCAAGGCATCACTCCTGGGGCCAGAGTCTGGTCAGCCAAGCGGCAAAAGCCAGGACGCCATTCCCTTAACCAGGAGAGGCTTGTCCCCTCAGCCCTCCTGGTCCTTCCATCTCAGTGCCATGTGGGTCCAGGGGGTATCCTAGTGGTTCTGAGGACACTCAACATTCAGGGCTGGCACTTCCTGCTGTAAAGATGAGGAAACCAAGAAGCAAATCTATGACTTGGTTTTCTTCCTCCTTCCTCTCCCTGGCCCCTACCCACTTTAAGTTTCTCCTTTACACCTGCTCGCAACTCTTCCTTCTACACCCTGAGTCCAGGCCCAGGGCCCCCAGCAGTGAAGAGGGGTGGTCAAAGTAACTAACCTCAGCAGGCCACCCAGCCCTGGCCATCTGTGGATCTCAGATCCTTCTCAGGAAGCTTCAGGTCAGCCGGAGATTGTAATAAAAACCTCTCCCCTGCAGAGAGCATCTCCATCAAAGTGCTTTACACACCCCTCCCTCCCTGGTCCTCATGAGATCCCTGAAGCAGTTTTCTATCCCTCATTAGCAACAGGGTGAGCTGAGATCAAGGCACCAAAGGGAGTAGGGCGCCAGCCCCATATACTGAAGGTGGCACCTTCAAACCCGGCCAAAAAAACAAAGAAAAAGAAATTATGGGCTCTGCCTATGGTTCAAGGAGTAGGGTGCCGGCCCCATATGCTGGAGGTGCAGTTTCAAACCCAGCCTTGGCCAAAAACTGCAAAAAAAAAAAAAAAAGGTGCCAAAGGGCCCTGTTAGAGGTTCCACAGCTTTAGCCTCAGGCCCTAGGAAAGCGAAGGAACCATCAATCAGCATTTTCCCTCAGTCTTTCTATGGTGACATCAACCCAGACGTCTTTCTTCATTCTCCTGGGGATGGTCTCCATTCATTTCTAGTTCTACAAGTTCAGAGGTGACTGCCCATTTCCCCAGATGGGCAGGGGAAGTGGTGGGGATAGGGGAATGCTGAGCTGCTTCTCCAGCCGTGGTCAAACGGGTCATCTGGGAGCCTTGAGGACAACCTGGATGAAACACACGTGTACTTTTTCATGCAGCTTTTCCAAAGCACATCTGGGATACACTAGTTTATTGGACATTAATAGGTACAACTGGTGGCCAAGTATTTGGGAAACTAGGTTTCATCAAGCTAAACAGATCTGCCACCTGTAGGACTTCTCATAACCTTTAATATGTGGTATGCACTGCAAATTTCCAAGGAGACAAAATATCCAGGATTTCTCAAATCTCTTGGACTAAACGTCTCTCCCTCCACCACCACCCTCTCCCTCCATCCCACCAGTACTTCAGGCTGCAGAATGCACTTTAGAAAGCCTCATTTTAATTGACTGGGGCAAGGCTGGAGAGGGCAAGTTGTGGAGCCAGGTTTCCCTCATGCAGCCTGCAGTGGATGTGAGAAAGAGACAAACTTCTCCTTACTCTGGGGCAGACAAGTCATGGAAACTAAAAGGAACATACAGTATCTTATTAGCCTCTGTGTTTTCCTGGGAGAGGGAGGAGGAGGGTCTTCACCGACGAATTCTGCCAGTGGCAGGGATCATAAAGAGTAAGGCCTGGGGTCTGGCTGGCACACCAGCAGTCCTGGGCTCCCTCCTGGGGTACTGGAGCCTCCTGGCCCTCATTTTGCCCCATGGTGGAGGTAGGACCTGGAGTGAGGGTGAAGACCGAACTGTAAAATGACCTTCAAAGTAGGTCAAGACTTGGAGTAAGGGTGAGGTTGAAACAAGAGGTGAAAACAGTGATGGAAGGGGAGAGTGCAAGAGGTGAATAAGAAGATATCATACTTTTCTGCTCTGTGGGTCCCCTCCTTGACATTGGAAACACCCAGGTCCCCACAGGCACCTGTTTCCTTGCTCCACACCCAGATTCCTGCAGCCAGCGAGGTAGCTAGGAAGAGGTAGGGGGGACACGAGGGCTTTGGGCTATGTGGACTTGAGTGGCAGCTGACCCTGTGCCCTGAAGGTTGGTGGCCCGGCAGGTGTAGATGCCAGCATCCCCGGCCCTGGTCTCTTCCACATACAAGGTGCTCTCTGCCTCCTGCTGAACCTGGCCCTCCTGGTATACCACATGGGCCCGCTCACTGGTGTAGAGGGGTCGGCCTAGCTGCAGGGGACAAAAAGCAGCTGTCCATCAGATACTCCAGGGACCCTCCATGACTCAGGCACCAGCAAGCAGGTAGGAGACACCATGTATCCCTTCGGGGAAAGGAAAAGGGATGTGACCAAGGTCACACCTTGGCTTGGCATCAGAGTACAAGGAAGGCTGGGTTCTTTGTGAAAAACTGTTTCTCAAGTCTGTGGACAGAAGCTGGGGCCTTTTCCCCTACTCAGAGGTAACTCAGCCCAGAGCAGCATTTCCCAAAGTGGGTTTTGTGGACCTCTAGTTCTATAGGAATATTAGTAGGTGCTCCTCCCCAAAGCAGAGAAAGGAAGTGGGGGTGGGGGGTTCATTGCCAACAATGTTTGGGAAACACTGAGGCAAAGTGAAATGAGAGACCAATACTGGCATTACATAGGGATGTGTGTTTTGAATCTCCAAGGCAGGGGCAGTGAGGTAGGCTGGGGGGAACTTTCTGGTATTCTATCATTCCAGGGAACACCTTTGGGGAAATCCTGACAAAACAAAGCCAGTGTCTCCCAACCATCTGTGTGCTACTTTCCCATTCCTGGGTCTGAGTTTCCTCTCCTGACAAATGGGAGAATGACCCCCCTACCCTTTCTACCTCCTAAGGCCTCTGGGGTTCACCTTTATCACATCTTTGCTGCGTCCAGCCCACTGTCCACCATTGCAGGGAATACAGAGATGAAGTCACAAGTTAACTATAAATTCATGCACTCAGACTACCCAAATGACTGGAGCAGAGTAGAGCCCAGAGCATGATAAGTTGAGGGGAAACAGAGAACTCCGGCTGAGTTCCCTTGGCCTCCCTTTCAGGGCTGCTGAAAATGGCAATCGTATCAACAAGTCTCAGCTTGCACATCATTTTATTTCTCCACCCCATACCTGAGTGGCCTCTGGCTGGGTGACAACCCCTCAGTGGGTCTTTCTGCCCCACTCTTTCCCCTGGGACCTATACCAGGTCAGCTCATTGCTCAGACATCTTTGGTGGCTTCTGGGAGTCTAAAGAATAATGCTTGGGTTCCTGGGCCCCCATTTCCCCCCTCCCCGCATTGTCAGCAGGTGGCAGTCCTAGAACAGGTGAATCTGGGTCTCATGCGTGGTATGTTCACCCTTCCTTGCTCTTGCTCCTGCTGCCATGGGCCTGGAGGACTTTCCACACACTTAAATCCCACCCTCCAAAGCTCTTATCAAATTCCAGCTCTCCCTGGAAGCCCTTTTCTAAATTCCTGAAGCCCTTAGTGTTGGTAGCATACTATTTGAAACAGCTGTTTTCCAGATGTTTGAAATTGATGGAGGGGGATAAGTTCTTTGAAGAAAGAACACTGCAACCACCACCTTTCCAACATCACTCAGGGAAGTCTGGGCCCAGGAAACAGTTGCAAATGCATTTGGTCCTTCTCCTATCACACCTCCCCAGCCCCAGGGGAGGTTCAAGCCCCATCTTGGTATGGTTGGGGCCAATCTAGTCTTAGTGTCAATGCTACCTTGATCCTAATCCCTCACTCCCATCCCCCTACCCCAACACACCACCACATATATATGTACCCACATTCCCCCACCCTTAACTCTCTGCTTACCTTCTGCCCTGGATATTCCCAGCTAAAGTCCACAGCAATCTCTGGCTCACCCAGAACTGTACAAGTCACACTGAAGTTATCCCCTAGTTGTACTGATGTTGCTGAAGCTTGGATGGTAGGTTTTGGGGAGGAAGATGGGTCTGTGATGGATGAGAAGGGAGAGAAAATAGAGAAAAACATGTTGGCTTGATCATTAGAATGGCTGAGTTGATGGCAGGTAGATGGATGGAGAGATGAATAGAATGGATTAAACTGGTTGATTAATACATGTGGGGAAGTGTGAATGAGTATAAGAATTAGTAGGCAATGGGTGGATGATGGAAGCCTTGACCTGATGCGGGACTGATGGATGGGAGAGTTGATTTGAAGGAAGATGGAGGAATGGGATAGTTTGACTTGAGAATAGGTGGGTGGATGGAAAGTATGAGCTGGTACAGGCTAGTTTGATGGCTGATTGGATGACTGGCTGGCTGGAGAAAATGGCTGACTACATGAAGTGCTGTTGAAAGCTGACTGGTTGTTCAGAGCTTCATAATCCACAGAACCCAAACCTCACGTTCCCAAAGGAAATATCTGTCCCCATATCCTCCCCTTCCCTGCCCACCTAGAGCCCTAGGAACACGCACAGTTGATGTAGATCAGCATGTACTTGGTAGATATTTGTTTCATGCTGCCTAGGCTTGCCAAGCAGAAGAGGGAGCCAGCCAAAGATGCTCGGGGCCGGTGGATGGTGAAGCCCTTCTTTACATCAAAGGAGATGTCTGTCCCATCCACTGGAATCTCCTCAGGGGGG